CAGGGAGGACGACGTGTTTTGGGTTTATAGCTGGCTGTCGCCGGAGTGCCCGATCTTTGAATGATCTTTGTTTTGCTTTCTTTATTTTCGGCGGGAGAGGGGATTTGTGAGTTTGTTTGGATGCTGGTAATGGAAGTCGAGGTCATTGGTTTTATGACGAGAGTGGGAGGGTGAGTTAGATTCGGATGGCGGAATTTTTGTGAATCAATGTGGGTTTTATTAGGGGTTGTCGGTGTGGTTTATTTTTAGTATATTTTATTTAAGTCAAGTCGGTTGAAGATTTTTAATAATTGAATGTTGGTATATTTTATTGTATGTCTATTTATTGTGACATTGGTGATTATTCTCAATTTATAGTGTAGGGTTTACTCTGTGATATGTACAGACTACCTTGACGTTGAATTTTATCCAAAAAAATTATTTCAAAATTGCGTATACTACATTAAATAAACCTTTAATTAATTTCGGAAATTATACATATTTGAACTATATATAAAAAGTTGATTTAATGTAGAATCATTCTAAAAATCCTATATTACAAAATGTTTTTCATCACATGGAAATAAATCGGGACTTATACAGCCCTCGAATAATTCAATTGATATTCGAGATGAACAATTCGAAATAAATTTAGACAAATTTTTGCTTCGTGATTTTCCTCAAATTCGCTAGAGATTCGATCATTCGTAAAATTCCCAGATATTATAGCGTGTTCCCAGAGACCATGAATAGTACGAGAATGATCTAGTGTTCATTGACGTTGTGAGATAATACAGTTGCATGCATACGTGTTATATCTGCATCCAGATTGCAACCATCCAAATAATGAATTCTGTATCACGGCGCACCCTTATCAGTTTCAGCCAGTGTTTGCGAAGAGCTTGCGCAATCGTCCTTAGGGGTTGGCTCTCTGCAGCCACCCCCGACTTCTCATTTCCAATCTCGCGCATGGAATCCACTGGATTCCACCACGGAACATTTTCTCACACGCTTCCAAAATGATTCGGGTCTCTAATTTAACATTTATTTGTCTTTTATTATTATTATTATATGGAGAAATCTTTGCGATATGATGTTTATACAGTAAAATTAATTAATTGCATAAATAGTAATTTAAACAATTCATTGGTTTTAAGTTTCTAGCTTAGAATAGAATTTATTTATTTCTCTGTATTATTATTATTTTGTATCCACGATTTATTTAGACAACTGGGAATTAAGATAATTAGGTGGTGGGGGAGCGAGGACCACTGCTCATGACGTTAGTTATAGTGAGTTAGTTAATTAGCCTGCCATCGTGCGAAAAATCAACTGTATACGAGAATATTTAAAATATATTGAGCACTATTTAATATTAAATAATTCACCAACACGTATACAATTTTCCCTAATTCTTTAACAATTATTATTATTAATATGAGAGGAATAAATCTTTATCGTACACAATTTATGCCATGAAATTGTTCACGTTTCAATTGAAAATGAAATTAATTATATGCTCATAAAATTTGGTATATAGCAAAATTTGTGAAAATGGGATTGACGCATGAAATGTCGATTAAATAAAATTTTGTTTATCTTTCCTGTTGCTTTCTGCAAATTCTCACGGTAGCGATAGCTTCTACCACGTAACAAAATTACGAAGTCTTTTAATGACTTATTAATACAAACAGCACGTGCTCTATTTAATCTTCTCGAGTTGACGCGACATTTATGGTCCCTGGAGCTTTCGACCCGCTTATGTGCTTGTAATTAGATTTCGTCGTGCGTGCGCTGCACCCTAATGTCTTCTCCCATGTTTATTTGATCTCCTGTCGCTCTTTGTGTGTATTCTTCTCCGATGTCCTTTAAAATCAATTTATTTCTGTATTTCGTATAAATATTTCATTACTTTACACTTCGTTCATTGAACACTCTTCCTCGGTACCTGTTCAACATTTTATTATTTTAACATGTTCGGTACTTATGCAGGAATTTGTTCATATGTTTTTATTTTTATACTCGGTATATTACACTTAGAATTTGAAAAAAGAAATTTTAATTCAATGCAGTTCTATTAGCACCCTCTCTTTGTCCATGTCCATTTGTCCATCAAGCAGAATGTGTTCTACTTGATTTTACAGAGATTAGATTTCTTGTATAATTGCGACGTGTCGTCTATATCTTTATTTTAGCTAACTAATACAATTATACACGTAATCACCACACATTATAGAATTAAACACGACTAATCAGTTTTAACCGATGATTAATAGATGTTGCCAAATATGATACCCACGTATGTTTACCCAAGAGCACTAGTTCCTCACTTTTCGACAGAACAAGGATAAAATAAACAGTTAGACTAGAGCGGTCCAATTATCGTCCACGTTATCCAAACCAGATGTCTCGACAATCCCGCGTCATCGACAGTTTCCATGACTTTAGATGTCACTCTCGAGGTGAGCCATGTGGCCTAACCTCTCTGCGTATATCACGTGCAATTTCATTTGCCGCGCTTAAGGACATCGCGGCGGCTTGCTCGTTAAGCGGGGAAAAATCAAAAGGCCTGTTAGCCGGGCCCGACGAATCGCCCCTCTGACCCCTCCTGCTCGACCGACCGCCGGGAGCCTCGTCCTTTTTCTGCCTCCCCCTTTATTCGCCCACGAGTTGTTCACGACTCGTTCGAGAGCGCAAGCCCGCGAAGTCCTGGGATCGATTCTCGGCTCAGCAGGAGGCTCCTCCTACCATGACGGCCATCTTGCGACCGGCACCGGTCTCACTATATCACATCACACTTCACTGCATCCAGCTTGCATACTTACGGTCAGCCATGCGATCGCACCCTGACTTTGTCCCTCTTCGATACCAGTCGGATCATTCCTCTGGCTTCAGGGGTTATAGACTAGATTCTCGATCTCGTTTGGAAAATTTTCTATGGCGTTCGGGAGTTCGGTCCTCGAAGGTGTGAGCATCCATCTGGTCCATTTTCTAATGCAATTTTTCAGAGATGCGAATTTGGTTGGCAGTGTCACAGCTAGGCATAGAATGAACTGGATATATAGATAGCAAATGAAGCAGTGCGACCTAACACCGGTGTAGACGTAGAATCAGTGTTAATTACTTGACAGAAAGAGTTGGTTTTCCTTCCCATTCTATTCCCATTAATACAAAAGAATAGAAAATGGAGTCAAGTGAAGAGATTAAAATGTGTCGTTGGCTCCTGTGCTGTTCTAAGGCTGGACTCCTGAGTTTGATATAGTAGCTGTTTGGATGTTAGGTTTTGAGATGTTTGACAAGTGATTCTGAACTTTAGGAAGAGGTTGAGAATTTGCGTGAGATTTGAAGGCTTTTGGAGAGAGACTTTTGACGAAGGAAAATTATTCATAGGGAAAAATGCTTACGCTCTATGATAGGAGGTGATGTTACATTTGTAACTTCATTGACAGGTGAATATTCGAAGATTTATGCAGAGCTTGATGCATTTTGTAGTTTGATCACTAAGTCTGTAGGCTGTGATGATTTTTGGAATATCAAATTTTGAACTTTGCACAGAGGTTAAGAGTCTGAATAGGTTTTAGATGTTTCTGAAAACGGATACTTAAATAAGGTTTTAAAGGAGGAACGTCTATAGAGAAGAATCCATGGACTTTTTACTAAGAAATCATGATAAACTGGTAACTTCATCGATTAGTTGAGATTCGAAAGTTCGTGTGCAATTTCCATAGGAAGTTCAAAAGTTACAAAACCTAGGATTTTGGATTTCTAATAGCAATTATTCAGTCTGTGATGACTACTTTATAGACTTTATAGATTCTGTATTAGTATCATTGTTCTCAAAAGAGTTTCGTATGGAAATCAAGAAAAACATTATTTATAAAACGAAAGCTTTCGGAGGTGAGGAGGAAAACTTTAAATTTGGTAATTTTCAATCTTGTAAGATACAGGCGTTTATTTATGTTTATTTCCTAAGACTGTGATTAAGAGAGATTCCAGTAAAGTATAACGCATTTGATTTGCTATACCGGATTCGCGGCCGAAGTGGTTCCATGAAGAATGGCTTCCTATAGCGAGTGTTCTTCGTGTTAAATGAGCGTTGAAATATGAACATTAAGCTGATTATATTCTAAATGAGTTACAGCGCGTATCTGTCGGAAACTATTTATTACATTTTACAGTTGAAGACGCAACACATTTTTGATGCGTTAAATTATCAGCGAGTTATGCGAAATCTTATTCAACCTGTCTTGCACAAGATATATTTAGATGTATTTCACACTATTATTTGCCAATTTTTTAATCGACTTTCATGCATAATGCATTATTCGTAGCAGAATTTTATTATGGAGTAATGTCTAATACATATTTATATATTTATCCAACTTTATCTTAACTATTATCTCGAATTCCTATGATTTTCGAAATAAGTACATTCACGAAATTTTAATTACGATCTTGCAGACAGTAAATTTAATAATTTTAACATCGAATTTCACAAGTGGCACAAGTAATTTACATTTTCCTTCGTGCTAGTTAGTATATGGACGTTTATCATCTACTTAGATGCAATTATTTTTTAACAAAATTAGAAATGCTAATCTACTCAATTCGAAAATGGTTACATCTTGGAACATATAATATGCATATAATAATACAACGAAACGTGGCCCGGAGATCTATGAATCCCTTCTTCAGGTAAGCCTTCAATCATTAAATATAAAATAAACTCAAACTTGGGGTAGCTACAATCACTTATATTAACCACGACTTTTTACCAAGAACTGACCCACAAACCTATGGATCGTCTTTTCAAAAAAGTTCGTAATCATAAAATATGAAATAAACTCAAACTTGAGATAGCTATACACCCATATTAACAACGACGATTTACCAAAAATGGCCCCTGCAGCTATGGACCCCCTTTTCAAAATCGTTTTTAATTTATGAAATATAAAATAATCTCAAACTCGAGATTCCTACAACCACTCACATTAACCACTCGTACTTTTCTAAACTTCCAGGTGCTGAAGTACTGTGATCATCTGCACGGAAAATGGTACTTCTCGGAGGTTCGAGCGATATTCTCGCGCCGCTATCTCCTGCAGAACGTCGCCATCGAGATCTTCCTGGCCAGTCGAAGTAAGTCGCGCGACTCGTTTTGCTCTGCTCTCCGAACGGAGGCGGCGGGGCCCTTTTCGGGCGGGCATTGCATTCCGTTTCTTGCTAGGCCGCCCCGTGCCTCGCAGCGCTATTTCACACGGCGTGATCTAATCCGGCAAAATGGAAACGGAATCCCGAGCGCGCCGCGAGGTGTGCGATCCAGTTTGCTTTTTACGCAATAAATATCTGCTCCGCGTTGCAGTATCTGTTTTTTTTTCTCCTTTTTCACCGCCGATTTATCGACCAATCTCAACTACACCTGCTGCCCTTCTACCTTTCGAATAAACCCGCGTAGACGGACTTGTGATCCAAATCTCTCCAAATTGGTTTCGTTGTGATAAAATTGAAAAGAAAAAAATTTTTGAAATTATTATTTCATAATACCATCTTATAGCCTAGAATTTGGACCAGCTGTGAACAAATAACTTACTATAGAGAATTTGTTACGATACTTTATTCTATTAAATATAATCTTGAAATCCTGAAATAGAATTAATTTAACAGTGATAAAAGAAAGTAATATTTTTCAAAATCGAGAAATCCTTAATACCATGAGAAGGAAGCTTTTTACTTTCCGTAAGACACTTCAAAACAACAGCAATTATACTAGAATTTATTGCTACTGGTTACATTAATTACTCAATGAATTCGATAAAAACATAGAAGAAGAAACACTACAAGAGATACAAATACAAAGAAAAGAATTATTGTCGTGCTTTATTAGACGTCACTACTATTAATTACGCTAATTACCATTCCCAGAACCTTCTCTACTCGAAAGAGGAAACACCTCATAACCATGCATTTCCTAGGGGACAATAAAATAGAATGAAAAGTAGACAGAAACAAAAAGGGACCATATCGATAAATAGAAAAGGTAAACGGAGTCTTCGTTATCTTGATTTCATAGCAGAGGTGTTAAAACATTCCTCGAGGTCGAAGCACCGGGCTACGCGGCGTTTCGTTTGAAATATAGTTGTCGTTGCGTGGTTCGTCGGGAGGTGCGCGCGCATTTGGAACTAGCGCGCCATGGAATTACCAGTATACCTGGCCAGCCCCGTTGGGCCCGCAATCCCGCTGATTATTTCTCTTCTGGCCGCAGATAAATTTCACGTTTCGACGTTCTCCTACCTTCTCACTGATCCTAATCTGATATCCCAGGACTTTCGATGAACCGGCGGAATGTCATCCGCGCCTGTTCCGTCGTTCATTAAAAAAATTACTAGGAGCAGGGTAATTCTTTTTTTTACATCGTCGTCCTCGTTAACGTGGCGCGCTGTTGGATCATATCGCGTCGTGATAAATCCTTGAACGATGAAAAGAGATATACGAGCGAGTTTGTTTGTCGGAGACACTTCTATGGAAGTTTTGGAGGTATTTAAGAGATGGTTTTCGGTCTGGAATTAAAATTCGAGAAAAAATTTGTGGTCCATTTCTTTTTATGGGAGATGATATTTGTGGTGCTCAGTAGGGATGATTAAGAATTTTTAATTAGAGAAAGGATAAATAAAGTTAAGCAAAAATTGTCCAATTAATACTTGATTCATACGATGTTGGATCATGACTATAGTGTAGTAATAGCTCACGAAAGTACTTGAACACTTGTATCCTGAATTGTTAACTTCAGAATGAGTAGATAAAATCATAAAAAAATCGACTAGCATCGTTTTTAGAATATTTTCAGGTAATTTAATATTATCTTCTTGATATGAGTTGTTTTGAATTCAAGTACAATAATTTAAATAATATTTAAATAAGATAGGACATGGTCATGAATAAATATTCTTTTTATAAATAGTTAAAATTTTCAAATTCTCTCTTCCTACATTGAATAAATTTGTTCCTCAAAAGGTTAGTCAATTTTTAAATTTAATTCAGATTCAAAGGTATCACAAGGTATTCCGAATTAATGTTCAGTCTTACAACCAAGTTTAGCTTCTAAATACACGACACATCCATTCAAGAAGCATCGAATAAATTTTGCTTCATTCACTGTTTTCATAAGCACTACTTTTCTAAAGCGTGCTCATTCATTGGAACACTAATAAATTAACCCACGACATTAATCACGTGGAAGGATCGAAGTCAAGATTCACCAAGGTTCTCCTTATTCGATCGTGGAAGGAACGGGGTCAGAAGATCCTTTGATTCTCAGCGACTTCTCTGTGATCGTGCCTTTTACTATCCTTCTGGCTTGATTAAGACCGACTCGTATACACTAGTCCTGTATTCGAAGTTACATAAATTACCAGCAAGTATTTATGGTAACCGTCTCTTTGCACGCTACCCTTTGAACTCTCGAGGGAGCTTCAGCGATGCTATTAAAGCCGTGAAATTAAGTCCATCCGCGTACCCACTCCTTTTCATATTTCCACGTTTAACTAACTACGTTCTAAATACGTTTACCACGCGTGTCCAGCAACGAGGTTCCGTTTCCATGATTCATTTCCCCTGATTTGACAGAAATAAGCGTGTGAAATTTATCGTGGTAATTTATAACGTCACGGAGTATAATGGTCTTTTTGGTACAGAGGGAATGAAAACAATTTACTTTGCAACATTAATGGTTTTAATTTTGTTTCAAAGAGGGAACAAAGACTTGGAGATTCCTTGAGTAAACAATTATGTAAAAATTTCATTTCGCTATAAAGGATTTTTAATTAGGTAAGGATTCTGAGTATTCACGTTTTGTATGCATATAGAACATTCAAAATTTATATTATACTGAATAAGATATTTATTAATATTCAGATTCTTGGTTAAAATAAAGGAGAGGAATGATATCAAATTGGCACAGTTTCCTTTAAAAACATGGTCAATATTGGAAAGAAGATAAACACAAATTTTACCTTTCATTTAATCCTTCATTGACATTAATTTTGCATAAACATTACGACAAAATTTAAAACTTAGATCTAATTAACGAATAATCAAGTTCTACATACTCTCTTAAATGAACTCAAATTTAATACACAAGATTCCGCGATTTCTAAAATTTTTATTTCCACCTCTACACCATGACTACACCTGAAATCAACCGATCTTTAAAAGCCAATTACAATTTTCTTTCTCTCACAATCGAAATTCCGCTTGCAGAGAGCTAAAGGAGTCACATATGTTCCAATTCGATCACACATCCAACCCCTTCGCTCCCTACTTGGCCACTTGATTCCCGTCAAAAAATCGCCACTTCCTTTCCAAGCTCTGCTATACATCATCCCAGGCCAATTCGTAGAAACCAATCAGCCAGTAACACCCTGGACGATTCCGCGTGAGCTACCATCCGGCAACAAGAACGGTTCGCCATTGCAATGCGTACAAGAAACGGCGTCCTTGCCTGCCAACCTTCCCCGAATGATTGACACACGGCCCGTCAAACGGATTGGGTTCGTTTATAATCCGCGCTTTAACGCCTTTTTGTCCACAGCCTCGATCCTGTTCGCGTTCCCGGACCAGATGACGGTGAAAAGGGTGATCAAGGCGCTACCGCGAGTCGGCGTGGGCATCAAATACGGGATTCCGCAGACTAGGTAAGGAACTCCGTTGCGCCATCTGGATCCGCGGAGAACCAGAATGGGGAACACGCTCGTCGAATTCCTTCGCTTATTTCTTTGTCCCCTTCCGTGGGATTCCGCTCGCGATCGGACCCTCGCATCTACCCTCGTTTCTTATCCGAACGAAACGTTAAGATGAATCGCACGGTAGAGGGCAGCGTGGTCGGGTAGTGAGAAATGCTCGGTTGAACGGGTATCGATCGCGAGGATGTCCTGTGTCAGCGGACTTGTTGCTTTGTTTCTCAAGTTCCGATCAGATGATTTGGATGTTGTACTTTACCTCGCTATTGTTCAAATTCGGCTGCTTTTAGACTGGTTTTAGAGATTGTAGATTTTTAATTAATCCTCGACTACTGATGCGGAATTCAAACGACATTTTCTTTTGGAAATGACATCCTTTTATTAAGTCATATAGGTTATTTCTGTTTTTATATAATAATTATGATATTAATTTTGTTGAATTTAGGTTAAAGGTACCATATACTTCGAACGATAACTTATTGAAATTACATCCTTTGACATAGTTCTATACATAGTTCTACTTATTATCATAGGCGACGAGACTAGTATTAGAAACTAACTGTTTCTACGAATTTTTTAAGTATGTAATAGTCACTCGTGAATTCTTAGAAAATTGGTATCTATTGTTGAAAGTCTAAGTTACTGCATATTAATTAATTTTGGAATTGTTTGTAAACTGATTCTTTCTTAAGAGTCTCTCACAAAAAGGAATTTTTGGTAGACTTTCTCGTATCGTGTTTCGACTATAATGATTAATAAATAACAGTTACCGGCAAATAATTCGTTAACAAAATCAAAGTATATGAAAAATGAAGAAAAAGCCTAGATTAAGGAACTAGTCAGGTAGATTGGTCGGAATGGTCACGAAGATCCTCGCGTTCTCGTCGCGAGCGCGTCCCAGAAGAAGGAAGAGCATTCTCCGTTCTCCCGTTCCTGATGCTCCCTCAGCATCGACAAGGACAGGCGGCGAGAACAGAGGTCCGCGTATCCGCGCTTCGATCCATCCATTAAAGCACTCCTATAAACGAGACAGAAAGAGAAAAGAGGAGGGCCGACGAGAAGGATACCCCGGCCATAAATATACGGAGGCCGAGTCGGACGTCTGATCCGAGGAAGATTCCTGGCCAACAAAAATAATCCGCCGGTGTATAGGACGGTGCATCCGCGTCGTGACGCTTCGTACCATCTTCTCGGGAAAAAATAAATTCTCCTTGCGATTGAACACGAGGTGGAAAAGCCGCATGGAGAACGATCCACCGACGATGTCCTCGATCAGGGAAAAAGTCTGAACTCGAGATGGTGAACGTCGATGTATCGGGTTTTAGATTTCCTCTGTTTGATAAAGCAACGTTTATCCCAATGTCGTGAGAAGTAAATGTCTTTGTATAAGTGGAGGTCATGTATATAGTATGTGTATAAACCTTATTGGAGTGTGGAAGCAAAAGTTTGAAAATTAGCGTCATTGGTCACGTGTATTTTATAATGACGAAATCATTGTATATTCTGATTGCGACTGATTAGTATGTCTAATCTATTGTTGCACCATTATAAGAAATGATCAGCACATGGCCCGTCGCTTCTACTATTCCGATCAATCTGAAATAAAATTCTGTAGGAAAGGAGTCATTGATGGAAAGTTGATAGTTACTTAAAATTGGGACAAAAATTGCAAAATACAAAGAAAACAGTTCAGAAAATATAAATTTTTTAATTCTTCGATTACAAGGAACTATAATTATGGAATTAGATTCATTAAATGGGAATTTTAAGTCTTCTGACTTAAGTTAATCAATTAACGTTTCACAGGAAAGATTTTTGTGCGTAGGATAGTAAGCCAGTGTTCCAATCTTTGATTTTTAATAAATTCCAAACAAAGTGGAAGGAAAATCAAATAGATTGAGGAGTAATACCATCGTTGCAGAAGTGTGGATGGGGTGTAAACGGTTAGAACCAGGATATTTTAGAAAATTTTCGTACTCGGATTCAACATTTCAAAATTTCTCCTTCAAGTTTCAAATTTCGAACCTGCTGGACGTTTCAGTTTTCCCCATAATCGCACGGGCAAACTCGCGGTGGACTTTCTATATGGGAGTAGAAAGATTTTCATAGATCCTCAAGATTTGTTGGCGCATGCACGCAACGCCAGAATTTATATATCCTGCCGCGGTCGGATGTCGTCCACCCTTAATGTCGTCCACCGTATACCGTCCATTAAAGTCTCTGGTATAAATCCTAAATCAGCGATCCTCGCGTTCGTAAAACGCGGCCGCTGAATTTTATGGCGCGAACGTAAAGCACCGGGCCGCATCTTGGTGCAATAGCTTTTACAAATCGAGGCCGAGTGTCCTCGTAATCGTCTCGTGAGTCCCATTCTGGGTTTCACTGCGCCCTTTTCATCATGCAATTAGGAATTGAATTCTAAGAATTCCTCCTCATCGTAATTTCGACCGGTCAAAAAAAATTTGACACGTTGACAGCAATTTCGAATAAATCTATTATCCTGCGTGACAATTTTTGCAGATGGCATTCTGCAAACTCGTGTTAGTCGATTACCACCGCAACCTCGATGAACCGATGATAGCGTAAACTTAGTTAGACAGGTATTAATTCATATGTCGTATATTCGCGACGTGTATCAACGTTGAAGTCATAAATAAGCCGTTATACCGGTCCTGACACCGTCATGCGCGGTGATTGGAGGATAATCAACGCTAGGATAATGATAACCGTGTCATCGACGACGAGTATCCACAGAGCTCGAAATTATTATTAACAATTTTAATCATTGGGGTTGTCACATTCGTCTGTCAGACAGTTTGATAGACGAGTTTCCTGAGAGGTGGGTTTGAAAGTTACGTTTTTCTTGCAGGAAAGCGTCCATGATGTCTCCAAGGCAGCTCATGAAGAACTCCAACATGACGCAAAAATGGCAGCGAAGGGAAATATCGAATTTCGAGTACCTCATGTTTTTGAATACTATTGCTGGTAAGTAGGAACTTCCTTGCATATTTTCCATTCTTTCTGAAATTAAAAAAAAAAAATTATGGAGGATTAAAGGATTTAAAGGTTGTAAGCATTCAAATTAAATTTCTATAGTAAATTCAGTAATTACTACAACGAAATTTCGCCATTAATTAATTGCCATTTCTAATCATCTTCATCCTATCATTCAAATGAACTACGCACCTCAACCTTCAATCAAACTTCAAACAATTAAAGGCAGCATAAATTTATTCAAATGATAGAAAGAAATAAAACCATCTAAGAATTTTTCTTCAATAATTATAACATTCTAAACAGTACCAATCTTTTATTCCTCTAATTACAGAAGGAAGTAAAGCAATCTAGAAATTGCTAAAAATTTTGCTACCTACGAAAATTCTTTCGACCCTATCGACAAGATAAAAGTGCAAACCGACACCTATCGATATCTACAAATTTAAATTAATTCCGAAATTGGCAGGAAATTCGAATATTACAAATTATAAAAGCTTTCACCCGATGCCTCTCCACAAAACCATATCGACGAAACCTTCCCTGTCCAGCGTTTCAGCCTAACATAGTAACCGTAACAAGAGGGTGCTGTTAGGCTAAAAAAATCATATCGGCTTACCAGTCGCGGAAAGAAAATGCGACGTTTGCGGCTGGCCGATGGTCGCGGTAGAGCGAGCTAGAAAGGGACAGAAGGCTCGAAATGGTAGCAGTAGCGTGGCTAGAAGAGGACAGAGAGTATATGGCCGGATGGAATCTGTCGCGACGTATTAGGGATGTTCTCAATCAGCTCCGTGTTCCGTTAGCCACCCCATACGAGTAATCCCCAGCTCGTGGGCCCCGGTAATCCTCTCCCGAGGGACCGGCGTTCTCCGCTTCCCCACGCGGAATGGAAGCCGCGCCTTTGTTTCTCCGTCGGTTTAATATCCGCCGTCCCTTTTGTGAGCTCGCGTCGCCAGCTAAATCACGAAACTCGAGATGTTGGACCCCTTACCTTTTTTTCACTGGATCACGTTGATCAGCCGTTTCGACGGGTAGCATCCAGAGAATGCCCGTCATAAGAATGGTACTAGTTTTAGGGTTTGGGGTTTGGTGAGGTGGTAGAACAAGGTTTGACGGACAGTAATGGTACCGCCCTGAGGATAATGATGCGTTCAAAAAGAGGAAGGGAAAGTTTTCATAATTAGAGTTTGAAGGATATTTTCCTCTTTTTTGGGAAGGGGTATGTGGAGGAGATCTGTTTCGTATTTGGGAAGGGTTGACGAGACTTTATAGACGTCTTTATAGTGTATTTATTTTTATCAGATAGTTTTGCAGAATTTTCCAATTTCCGAAAGTTGCCCTATTTTCAAACTCCCAAAGTTCTTCCAGTCGCGGACTTCCAGTGACCGGAAACCTTCACACTTCCACTTTCACAAATTTCCCAAATCTCTCACTCTATTAGCACACTCGAACCTCGTTCTTACCCATAACCGTCGAACAGTTTAAACGCCGGCCGTAAAAAGAGAGGTTCAGCTGGCGAATTATGTAAACGCAGAATTTACTGCTGCCCACGCGCTGGACCAGCCGTCTAATGACGAGGATCATCGTGGACGCGTAATTATTCGTATATCGACGAGAAACGCCGCAAGACACCGGGGGGCGTCCGTGTATTTACGAGCGTTATATATTAATTGCGCGAATAAATAGTCCGCGGACGGGGCAAGCGCGGCGGTGGCGCTGCGGTGCGCGGCGGCGGCGCGGTGGGGACGGAGGACACGCGCGGCTGCGCGCGCAACGCAATTGGGCAAGGCTCGGCGGGAGAACACGTTGCGAAAACGAACCGGTCCCGTGGGCCAGGCTCCCGCATGCGATCCGGTCCCGTTGTTTATTTGCTCGGTCGCATCGGTTTATTAAAAATTAATGACAGTAGGGCCGATGTAAATACGATAGGCTGCGTGTCCCGATGCGAGGCCGGTCCGCGTGGGTGTACTCACCCGCCGGCTACGCCGCCACCGGTCCATCGGTGTTCTTTCTGCTGATACTCTCCGGGGAGGGTTTCTTTAATTAATTGTTCGCTTGAGAATTTTCTGCCTTCTTTTTAATCGCTTACCTTTGTTTGTGTTTATACGGGCAGAGCTAATAAGAGCGTTGGGTTATGTGGGTGTGTGGTCGAGGATGAAGTCTGAGAAATTTTTCGTTTGCGTTGGACTTTAATTACTGACACCCAGTTTCTGGACTCATGAGGATATCGCGTATATCAGACTGAAAGTACATATTTGGGAGAATAGGCCTATGTTAATTGTTATTCACAAACGGATATAACTTAATTATCTGTATAATTGTTAATATAAGTATAACTATATATATTGCTATATACATTAGTGAATTTTAAAAGTACGGGGATAGGTCCTATTATGTATCCCTACTAGGCTTCCTATTGTGTGTCTTAATCTAATTGGGACCTAAACTGGTTGTCAGTAGTCATTTTTCGACTAATTTCTTCTCGTTCGACATGTAACCTGTTTATATGTATTAAGACAGATCTAGGTGAAAAATAGGGTTTAAACAAAATGGAATGCAATGTCTAGGGTGGGTTGTATTGTGACATCGGTCAAGATATCTCTTTGCATCGTTTGACTCTCCACTCGTTAAGTTCGGGTTCGAACAATAGGTACTTACGATTGTATCGTTTAAATTCTACATTAGAATGAACAAACATCCGCTGTGAAATACTTATACACGGTTTCAGGTTTTCCGTGGATTGAACCTTCCGTTTGTGTCACAGTCCCCGAAAAAAAAATGAAAAACTTTTCTTTTCGATAACCATAATGTATTCAATCTTATGGTTTCCGTGACCGGATTGAAAGATATTATAGTTCCTAACAAATTTTTGCTGTATCAATTTATGGGAAAGACAATCATATGGGAATGCACAAAAACTTTAAAAAAAATTTGGTAAGAAATTTATTTTATATTACTTTCTTTGTCAGTAGAGTAGTTTCGCCGATGGATGGTAGATGGTGTTAAGGCTGTGTAACACGACACGAGTAATAAGTTTACTCTCTTTAGGTTACTTTTATTCTTCTTGTTCCATCGATTGATATCGATCGTTTCTTTTTCTTTCCATTTTGCGTTAGTCAGCGTGTTAAAGTTATGGCGATCATTATTATCGCACTTTTACATCCCTCCGTACAGACGTGGTGCTAAGTATATGTCTACTTTTGTATCTTGTTCGTTTCGATAATTAATATTAGTTTATTTTGATCATTCAAATTTCGAGGATATACAATGACCAATTAGAATTAACTGCAAAAGCCCATGAAAATGAATCACCCTTGGTTTCGACTAAAATTCTATTTAACGTATTTTGTATAAATTCTACAAATTTTTCTAATTTAGTCGCGAACAGAATATGTGTACAGTGGCCGATAAAAATGAAAGACTTTTACTAAATGAACATTTCTCTAAATTAAAGCTCTCTGCAAAGAAAGAACATACACAATTTCCCAAACTTATCTTGGAAACTTAAGCTTAACTTTCCCCAATTAAATCACAGATCGGGGGGATTAACGGATTAAATATCTCTGCGGAAAGTATTCGCGAAACAGACGAAAGACAGCAGGGTAACGAGACGAGGGACTCGTAGTGCTGGAGCCATTTCGTAGCACTTCCTGCCAATTTTTCTTCGCAGGCCCGCGTCCCTTTAAATCTCGCCGAGTGGTGAGTTAAAAACGAGCCTCTCGTCGCGGCTAGCACTTATTATAACGTTGTTCCACACGGGTCGAGGGTGGGGGAAAGGGGTCGCTGGCGGGAGTTAGGTAAAAACGCAGGGGCGCAGGGCGGGTCGGGGAAGGGCAAGGTAGGGGGCGCGCGTGTCGCGGGCATTCCGCTGTCGGGAAGCGTTCCGAGAGCGCTCACTCACCACGACGCTACCATTAATAATCACTTTGATGCATAACGCGGCCTTACTATTATTTACGTCCGACCGACGGTCGTGCAGCGTCACGATTTACGATGCATTGTAGCCGAGGCCTGTGCGCCGCGACTTCGCCGCCGACCAGACCCTCGTTCCTCCCCAACCCGTGCACTTTTTCCCTTCGTCTTGTTCCTCTTGCTCGCGGCCGAATTCAGCAGTTGATGGAGTTCTTACGGACGAATCGGCGCAGTCCTCTATGGCTCCGCGATTATTCCGCTGAGCGGACGGTGTCCCCCTGGCGGCGCTTCGGGCAGATGATTTTTACACTAGAATTACTGACTCGCAGTGCGCTTTTAACCTCTTCAGGCACAAATTTTTAAAGGTGGAATAAAATTCATTTAAATTGTTTTATATCGGTAACAATTAAGTGAGTATTCAGCGAAGTTTCTTTTTATCGACGGATTATATATCAATAGTTCTGAAACTGATTCTAATCTTCTTTTTGCTCATAATAGCCATCATTAAAAAAAAAAAGAAATAAATGCACATATGTGTGCTAGTATCCCTAAAGAGGTTAAGTAGAGTATAGACGATAGTGGTAAGTAGAACGGTATGATCGAATTTCTCTTTCGGTGAAAGTTAATAATATTTTTGTTTTATTGTGATATTAGGTCTTTGTTGTTCTGAAAATCATTCTAATCTCTTTGATTGATTGGTAATTTTAACATTAATGTCACTTCCCTTGTAATAGAATATGTTTGAAAGGGTTTAAAGTGAAAATTTAACGTACTCTGGGAAACGATTATTAAAATGGCTATAAAATGGCGAAGTTAAACTTCAGATATTGATTAGGATTGGGGTTGATTGTAGAGACCATACGACTATACTCTAACGCCATTTTTTTTTGTTTGCGAATTATTAATTATTCATTACAGATTTTAGAGATTAATTTAATAAACAAATCGAATTGCCAGAATATTACGTTCAGTATTTAGGTTGCAGAAGATAGAAACATACCGCTGTCACTTTGCCACGTTTTAGCCCTCGATTTCAGAATCGTATCTCATGTTTTGCATACTAAACGTAAATTTAGATGGGCTTCTCTATTTTACGTCGTGTTTTCCTCAAGATTCGCTTCATTTACTGCTCATGCACCTATTTACTCACTCTATGACCAGAAACCAATATCAAATTAGCAAGTTCTAAACTAATCCGATATATTCATCCTCACAAACTTCTCTTCCACGAATAACTACCCCACTCCAGTGTAACTGCAGACCGTGTTACCTACATGAACGGTGGACAGAGAAATAAAAGAACGAGAGAGGAAAAGAAAAACATAAACGATTTCTCAGCTTCACGATGGAGACACTTTACTTTCAGGTGCAGTACGACGAATCTGTAGCCCAACTAGAAAACGGGGTAGTACGAATTAAAGGCGCGCTTAAATGATCAGACACGAAGGGCTGGGGAGGGTTGGGAGGTTGGGAGGGCTAGTCTCATGGCTGACAAACTTGCTGACGGGTTTTAATTAGCGACAGGGGAGGAGATTAGACGAAGTCAGGCTTGCAGCCGTGCTGCCGTCACTAATGCATCTTGGAATGGGATTCCCGGGGGCGGGAGAGTGAGACCTCCAGAAGTGACAATTTCAGGAACGATTAGCCGTCACGGTCTGAGTTATGCTCTTACTAAACGGAACACCTCTCTCCCCACGAACGGAACCGTGGCATGCATTTCGTAAAAATAGAATTAGAAGGCCCACGAGTGTGCATATCCATTCCCTCATCCTCTTTTTATCGTTGGTTATAGCGCGAGGGTGGGCGCGAGGAAGAAGAAGAGTGACCGCGGCTGAGGGCGACAAAAAATTAGGCCGGTGATTATAAGCATTAAAAGGAAGGCCCCGATGGATGCTCGTTTATTTTTGGCCCCGTTTAAACCAGGAATTTCGGCTTTCTCTATGGGGTGGGTGACCCACGCGACAGCATAGCCGGCCCCTAGTACGCGCTCTCGTAAATGATATTTAAGTCATTAGCAAGGGTTTATTAAGTCCTTCTTTCTCATCTTTGTTTTCACCTGGTTTTATGCAGCTTTTGGTTAATCACTCGAGACATGAGAAATCTTGTGTCAAGTAACACCTAGACATCATGATAACCGCATATCAAGAATTAATTCTCTAACGATTAATCACTGTCTTTGTAAAATGTCAGCTTTTTATACATAATTTTGGTATATAAAACGATATTTATTATTATTGAACATCATAGACGATTACGAAATTTTTGAACGATTTCTGGGAAATAAACTTATTACTATTAGTGAATGGGAAGATGGAAAAGGTGAACATGAAATGGTATTGAAAAATTATTTTTTGATAAGAAACTATTTCGACAGGGTTTCATATTTTGATTTAATTGTAAATTAAAATAACAAAGAGGGAATTTTTACGTCTTTTCAGAAAGTTTCATGGTAAGAGGCTAATCGTAAAATATATTTTAGGTCGAACTTATAATGACTTGAACCAGTACCCCGTGTTCCCTTGGGTGTTGACTAATTACGAGACCAAGGAGCTCGACCTGAGTCAGCCCAGTAACTATCGTGATTTATCAAAGGTATAAAATATATGTATATTATGTTGTACAGACGATGTTTAGTTTCTGTGATTGTAATTCAGATTTTGGTGCGTTTTTGTAGCCAATTGGGGCGTTGAATCCAAGTAGGAAAGCTTACTTCGAGGAACGCTTCCACAGCTGGGAACACGGCAGTATACCACCGTTCCACTATGGCACTCATTATTCCACAGCTGCTTTTGTTCTGAATTGGATGATACGCGTGGTAAGTTCAATAATTATTTTTAACATAGCTCGAATAACATTGATACTAGATACATGTCTTCTTCAATAATCTCCTTCTTTCTTTTGAGGTTATTATTTTCGATACTACTATACTGTGTCCCGTTGAATCATTGAAATTGTTTCTTAATGTCTAACGAAAGCAGTGAAAATTATTTTGCAAGAAATTCCATTACGAAAAGAAAGGACTACCATTTCACTCCTATTTTAGCTCACACCAGACATAAAATCCAATCTCATAAAGGTCCCGATTAATCCCCCTAATTCGATATTTTGTAAATAGGTCTCAACTCTATACTATCTGTTACAACGTATCAACAAACACCTTTTAAAAGAGAAAGAGAAGAAAAATATACAAAATATTTCAACGAAATCGTAGATTTCCAAATCGTTTATTTCAAAGAGCTGTTCAGTTCGAACCATAAATTTCAACGACGCATTCGGTAGTATCTACACGTTAATTTGGGGGCGTCGGAACGCCCTCTAGTCAACGAAGCACGCCTTCCAGTTAAATATGTGCATTTCTTCTCCGTTGCATTTTCTTAGCTTCCTCTTCACATCCCTCTCTCTCTTTCCACTTCACGGTTTCACGTAAAGCCACATCTATCATCGGTCTATCTTCATTTGATCTTTATCACCTCATCAGCCGTATACATTAATTTCTTCATTACACCGAGTGTATGGCAGAACATAAAACCACAAGTAAGTAACAAAAAGAGGTTTATCGCCGTCTCTAGCATAGTCCGTTGCACATCCAGCAATAGTAACCGCGCATGCGCGCGCGTGACACGCTCAACAGCGATCGAATCTCATGTAAATGACGAAGCTCGACCGGACAAGCATGATTTCCCCGCATTTACATACAAATCGTCAATAAGCGATTTTACTGTTGTTTCACTGGCCAGACGTCATGCTGTTCCCCATAAGGGTATACTGCATCGTAAACAATTTACTGCTTTATAACTGCGCCACTTCTTCACTCTTTGGGCCCGTTTCCACGAGCGCCATAGTCGCTGCATCCGCGAGATAGTTCGTGCTTCAAACTGCTCGTTTTCTTGGATCATTGTAAACGTTCCAGACACAACTTGACGAAAATCTCGTTCGTCGACAGGGCTGTAAATCATGGCCGTATCTTCGACGCCTACGCGTGAAACTCGCCCCGATCACAGGGGGTCCTCTGTTAACATTCATCAGCCTGTCAGTGAAATGGACGACTGACGGTGGACGGATAGGACTTTAAGCGCGAAACCATATAACAAAGTAGCCTCTCAGTGGTCATCCCGAGTGATGGTTTAAGCATTTTTCGTTGCCGCTCGTGAGAAACCCCCAGGCTGCAGCGAGGCGATATAGAGAATTCTATGTTTATTTATTGGGAAATTTTTAGCAACGGAAAATTATGACGATATGCCGAAATTGGTGTATTATATCAGTAGAGTCTCTATAAATGATTGGAAATGGATAAAAATGTCAGTAGGCAAAATTAAATGGCGTCAAATGTTAATTCGATGTGTTTCGGTTCCCTAGGGACCCTAATTTCGATGATTCGAAGACCACTGCTATATTTTTAAATAGAACTGTTCCTTCCTTTTTAATAGACCAGTAGATAAATTTCTTATTTTTTGTACACGAGTATAACTCAATGTCAGAAGATTATAAAGAAAGAAATTATCACTTAATTATATTTCTTATGGTATAATTTCTGATGTTCCAGGAGCCTATGACAACGATGTTCCTGGCGCTCCAAGGCGGGAAATTCGATCATCCAAATCGATTATTCTCCTCAATTGCACTGTCTTGGAAGAATTGTCAACGTGATACTTGCGATGTCAAGGTTCGTTTTATTCCCTACTTTTATAAATTTCACTTACGAGTTTCTAGTCTTTGAAAATGAATTTTTCAATTCATTCGGTAATAAATTCAATTTATTCGTGTTGTCGACAGGAGCTGATTCCGGAGTTCTTCTTCTTGCCAGAAATGCTGGTAAATAGCAATCGGTATCGCTTGGGTAGACAAGAAGATGGCAGTGTAGTCGGAGACGTGGAATTACCTCCATGGGCATCGTCCCCGGAAGAATTTATACGAATTAATCGAATGGTAGGTCACAGAAATGATATTTAGTCAGGGTATACCTTAAATCCCCTTGCATCAATTATTTCTCACATTTTTATTTTATACAGGCTCTCGAGTCAGAGTTCGTGTCTTGTCAATTACACCAATGGATCGATCTGATATTTGGCTACAAACAAAAAGGTAAGGTTCATCGAAATTATGACACGCGTAAAATTAGTCTTGTGACTTCACAAAACAGATAGCCCAAAAAATTTTTCAAGCAAAAATTTTCTTATACCATAAAAATGTAATTAATTATCTTAGCTACCGCTTCACCGGGAATAAAGGCTACATTGATACTGAAAAATTGCTCGAAAAGTCAAAAATACTTATATTTCAACGTTTAAAATATAAAATACGAAATAACAATATTTATAACTGGAAAACTACAAATCCAGTGTAGAAACCACATTGCCACTGCTATAAATACAAGCATTTCGACCGTAAGACTACGGTAGCCGAGTTTATTAGGGGAAAAGGTAAGGTGAAAGAACAACATAATTCAAAGCCTTAAAAAGTCTGAACAAATCCTAGTGGCATTAATCTTTCCGCGTAAAGCTGCCGGCCGAATCGACGCGACATCCGCACAATGGCGCGAGTGGTAAGGCTAGACCGAGTGTTGGGCCACGCGTGGTCGGGTCAAATTAGATTTCCACCGATGGTAATTGCCGGTGGCGCCTCTATATCCGGCGCTTCTCCGAAGCTGCTGACGCCGAGGTAGGCCACGGGTGGCGGCGCTCGCCGCGCGTATGGAAGGAATTAGTTTTTAGTTAGCTTCCTCTCGGTCTTGTCTCAACCAATTAGGCACGTGTGCCGGCCGCGACAATGCATGCCACCCCTAATACGCAACACGTTTACACTTGGTTGCGCGAGAGTACAGTCAACCGGAAATACCGGCCACGAGCAATCGGCTCCAGAGATCGGCTGCGCGAGGACGTATGATTTATTTGCTAGTAAAATTAAAGTTAATGATCGTGGAACGCGAGGGTTGTATTTTAAAACGATCATCGGGTTTATTTAAGATTAAATGACCGATGGATGAAAAGACATGAAGGAGCATCTCAAAAAAGGAAAGAAATAAGAGAAAATATTGAAAAATTCATCGTGTGTGTGCTGAAACACATGTGCAAGTGACCAAAGCGATAACGCCGAATGCGGAATTATAAATGAAAAATTTATAAATAGTCATTTAAGGCATGGTAGGTTCAGTATTAATGCCAGAATTGCCAAGGAAGTCAAAATCATTGGTTTCAGACATTTTGTTCTCATACACGTAAAAAAGTGCAATTGCAGACTTTTATTGATATGGAAAAAGGAATTATGGTTACAGTTTAATTATTATTTAACTAATTGAATAATTTATAGCATCATGCTTTCAGCAATGGAGATTTGATATCATATAGATGACTGATTAGAACTGATTGAACTTAAACGAAGTACTTGATAAATTAAGTCTCATTAGAAATATATGGTTTTGTTTAGCAGATTGAGGATGTTTTATTAAGATAGAGAGCATTCGACGTTTAGAAACTTTGTTAACAATAATTTGTTCCAGGCCCGGAAGCTGTTCGAGCAACAAACGTTTTCTACTATCTAACTTACGAGGGTAACGTGGATTTGGATACGATAACTGATCCAGTTATGAGGGAAGCAATAGAAAATCAAATTCGAAACTTTGGTCAGACACCATCGCAACTTTCAATCGAACCGCACTCCCCGAGAAGCTCGGCGATGCATTTGGTAAACAATGTTCATCTCACAGTATGTTATGCTTTCTTTACTAGTCGAATTAGTGTTTAGTATCTCGTAGATCTGTGTAAGAAGAAGAGTGTGCAATGTATTCGTACGTAATCAGTTTAGAGAAAGAAAACAAGGGGTCTTTTATGTAAGCCCTTGAGAGTATTCTGTTAGCTCTAGAGCAATAGTAATTCATAAGATTAATAGACTAGTTTATAGCTTGACAATTTAGATCTATCATAGTAATTTTATCACACGTCATTCTTACAATTTTTGTCAAGTAATTTTTCACCCCATACTCTTATGTTTCGAAATTAACATTTGATAATTGAGATAAAGTTTTTCTCCAAGAAACATATTCATGTATTATTCGTGTATTATCTAAACTCATCGTTTCTGCTAAAATCATCTACGTTACAAGTAAAAATTATACCCAGTCTAAATGTTTTTCATGAAAGAAAGTATGATAAGATTATGAAATACTTCAGATATACTTAACAGAATACTGAATTCCATCCGTTACATCTCTAACCAAATCACTTTATAATCATTCAGCAACGAGTTATCACGAACTTAACTACAGAAAGGTACAATGCACGCTTTTCTTTCTGTTCAATCGTTCCAAACGAGAAGAGTACCGCGATGTTTGATAAGACATTGCCACCCGTGTTGCAGTCGCCGATGATGTTTTCGAGCATCCCAGACGACATATGCATGACCATCAAGTTCCCATCAAACTCGCCGATCTGTCATATCTCGGCTAACACATACCCCCAGCTACCTTTACCGTCAGTCGTTACAGTCACTACTGGACAGCAATTCGCTGTAAACAGATGGAATACCAACTACGCGGGTATTTGTTTTAATCTCAAATGATTTATCAATTAAACTCGATCAACTTATTAACGTTAAACAATTTGTAGCATTTGTACAATCACCCAGTTACGTGGATACTCCGCAAACGCAAACTCCTAATCAGCCATTGTCTATGGACCCTGTTCTATGTAAGCGAAACGACAAATAGATACAGAAAATGATCAGTGGAAGCGTTTACAATATTAAGATTGCCACAACGATTGTTGCAGCTCAAGCGGCGAATGGTTCGAATCCCACGTTACGACGTCACTTGGGTGACAATTTCAGTCAGAACCTGAAAATACGAAGCAACTGCTTCGTCACCACGGTGGACAGCAGATTCCTGGTCGCATGTGGCTTCTGGGATAATAGCTTCCGCGTATTTTGCACCGAAACTGGTAATAAGATTTGTGAAACGTTTTAGCACGCAGAAGAAATTAAGAGAAATTGGAAGAAGAAGCTTATTATACTATAATCTTTTCTTTGTCTCAGCAAAAATTGTACAAATCGTATTCGGCCATTACGGAGTCGTCACGTGTTTGTCACGCAGCGAATGCAACATCACCTCTGATTGCTACATAGCATCCGGAAGCGCCGATTGCACCGTTCTGTTGTGGCATTGGAATGCCAGGACACAGACAATTATCGGTGAAGGTGAAGCACCTGCACCCAGAGCAACTCTTACAGGGCACGAGCAAACAGTGACGGCTGTCGTTATCTCGGCTGAACTTGGTCTGGTCGTTTCCGCGTCTTATTGTACGTAATTAACGACGTTTCGATATCTCAGCTACTTTAGACCCAGTTTGAGCGTTAGTCATAGCTCAAGAGATCGTTTTTTATATTCTATTCGATACTCGACACGTGTCTGCAGGCTAGGAGTAAGATTGTGATAAGCAATTTCTTGTCCGCAGATGGACCTGTTCTCGTACACACGACTTTCGGCGATCTTCTGAGGTCGCTGGAAGCGCCAAGTGGATTCTCTTCGCCTGAAAATATCGCAATGTCACGGGAAGGGGTTATAGTGGTGAATTACGAACGTGGACATATAGCAGCGTACACTATAAATGGAAAACGGCTGCGCCACGAGTCTCACAAAGATAATCTTCAGGTAATTTATATTATTCCTGAGGTAACTTAATGGGCGAATTCCTTTATCGTCGTAGAAAAATGGATAATTTAGGAGGGTTTAGGATTCGATAAAAAGTGAATTATTTTTGCTCTTCCAGTGTCTACTTCTCAGCAGAGACGGCGAGTATTTAATAACAGGTGGTGACAAACGAATCGTAGAAGTCTGGAGGACGTTTAACCTCGCCCTCCTCTACGCTTTTCCAGCATGTGAAAGTGGCGTGCGTTCTCTGGCACTGTCACATGATCAGAAGTAAGTACGCTAAATATCCTTTGCTCGACGAATAATTCCACACTTGGCAGGGACAGGTATATTTCAAGAACTTTTCCCCACTAATTCCCTGTGTTTCAGGTTTCTTCTGGCTGGTCTGGCCAATGGATCGATGGTGATCTTCCATATCGACTTCTACAGGTGGCACCACGAGTACCAGCAACGGTACTGAGATTGCTTCGCGTACGTCTAGCAAAGTCGAACGAAGCACGAACATAGTTCATCTGTCGTTCGTCTTCCTTGCACAACATCGACAGATTTCTCTCAGTTATGGATGCAACGCAACGGTAACATCCACTCAAAAGTAAATCTCGCAACATCCAACCGTGTGTACAATTTCATTCCGACAGACCTGCGATTCGATCGTAATGTGTCGAATTCAAAGGGAACGCATCGTGCAATAACGCGAGGATTAGGCAAAGTGTTCATCAGCCGTCTCGATGGAGTTTTAAATAAGAAGCAACTTCGAGTGTGATGAACAGTCTGATCTTCGAGTGTTTACAGATAGGAGCAACGAGCAACGACGCTTTCGTAATCGTTTATTACAATCAAGTAGTGGGCGCAGAGGACAGTAGTCGCCGAGCAGCAGGTATACTCATGATATTCAGCGTGTTAGCAATAAAGAAAACAAAATTAATTCGCTTTCTCGCGACTCTGTGGGAGAATATTCGAGTGCTTCCGTGAGATGACGCGTGCGAACCGACGATCATGCGCATGCGCACCAAGGCAGAACGAAGTTTCGAGCCCGGGAGAACTGGCCAAGCTCGAGCGCGCGTTATTTCGCGACTTCGATCGAGATCGATATCTGCCTCGAACCTTCTAGCCATGCAAAAGCCGAGAGAGACAGAAAGAAACGAAGATTTACGAGGGTCACGGACGAAATAAACTGTATCGCTCTCTCTATCACTATCTCCCTCTCTCTCACACACACACACACACACACACACACACACTCTCTCTCTCTTTCTCTCTCTCTCTCTCTCTCTCTCTCGAACCGCTAGTCAATTACGTACACATTATCTGTACGCTTGCGAATACTCGATGGCCGATTCTCTCGACTCACCACGTTCGAGGCGTGTGGCGTAGTGATCTATTCGCGATCGGATCGTCGAAGGTTAGACTCGCGACGAAGAATTTCGCGAGTAATCCCTGTGTGGCATGTCGAGACCGCGTTTCCTCCTTTGGAAGAACTTACGCGTGTCTGTGGCCCCTGACGACACGTTTAGCGCTAGTAACGTCCCGTGTAAATACCATTATCTCTACAGCGTATAAATATACATGAAATATATATATATTCTATACATACACGCATAACTCCGTGCTGTGGTGTCGTGCGAATGAGCGATAGATGATGAAAGAGAATTGTATTTCTGCGCCAATGTTGTAATCGCTGCTCGTGATAATGAGACACTCTTTGGCTAAGCACTTAGTGACTTCAGTTTTACGAGACTTAGGAACGTAAACGACACACACGTACACACGAACACGGTCTCACCTATACAAATTTTCTCCACCAAGTATATCACGTACGTACACCTTACACAGTAAGTACACGTTTGCACAAGAAGGCACTTTCGCAGGGGCAATCGACGCTTTTTTCGCAGGGCCGCGTGTACGCTGGATTGCCCCATCTCGAGAAACACACACTATATATACTATATTCACCATGATCACCATCATCATCCAGCAACACTTCCTATTCCCCGACATTCACGACCTTCGAAAGATATCCTAATTTTTGATCAAAGCCGTCCAGCTTAACTTTTTGCGAGGATATTTCTTGGTATTTTCGCATGCGATGTATAATTAATCTGCAGAGACGAAGAATTATTAATAGGCTTTAAAACGAGCGAGTTTGAATCACGTGGATTTACCCCGATCTCGTTGGCGCCGTTCCCGCCACGAGCGCTGGGATCGGCGTCACTCGTGTGTGAACGTGTCACCCGTGTGACGATTCGAATGGGACAGAAACAGGTTAGGTTTGCTCTTCGCGATGAACCGCGAGCTTAGAGAACGAAAGGGTGGGAGAGAACGTGTAAATGCAGAGACCAGTGAAAATCGGATATATCGAAAAATAGAAGTGAAACTTAGGGACAATTGATCGAGAAATAATGTCACAAATGATCCATGGGACTCTCGTCTACTCGTCGTTTCGCTGTATCACGAATGCTAGTCACTCTTCCTTCGAGGAACACCGGTGTTCACCGTATTGAATCAAAGGAAACGCGTGTGTGCACAGCTTTCATTGTTCCGCGATCGATATCCGGTCGATATTGTCGTTCACATACAATGGCGTAGCAAGCTAGAGATCCGCTTCGGTCCGATGAATCAACGATGATTCTTTTTACACGCACGTTTAGTCATCTTAGGTAAATCTCGATGTGTTTCCCTTCGGTAACGATCAGTAACGCGATATTCAAGTCGGATGGTGTTCGTAGGAGATGGAGCGAGAAGATGGCGGACAAGGGAGACGAAACAATGGAAGACAAAGTGTGTGAGGGCGTGAAAAGACAGCGTGAGAGAGACACAGCGTAAATGAGAATAATTTTGAACGAGAGTTTTGCGGCCACGTCGGTAATCGTTGCTGCGCCACGTTTCGTGAGTCTACGCGTGCAGTCGCGTCCGATAGAATCAGCACTTTAGGGCCGAGACTTAATTTCGCGGCACATTTCGCAGTGGTTAATTTCCGAGTACTTAAAGCTAGGCGAGGACAAATTGATAACGCTCGACGAAAGTTTATCGAAATATATTCCGTACAGTAACGTTTTCCCGAATCATGATACATCGCGAACGTCTCAGGATGCATCTAGTCAGGACACACGACAAGAAGCGTGGCGGGTTGCCGACGGATCCCGAATTCCTTAGATGTCGATAACACTTAAACGAAAAAATCATATTACAGTACTGTCTACGTGGTAGATGTAAAATGTAAGCGTATGGTGCCGTCGTTCTAGCGATCGATCGCTCTTGAGCTTGCGAGAAAAAGGGACAAAGGATGGAAAAGTTGTCACGATGTAACGTTGTAATAACGGTTTATTATAAACGTTTCAGTGTCGGTTCTTGTATCGTGCACCCGGCTCGCCGCCGGTCTCGTTAATCGTACAATTTATACACGCATAGGACAATGTTACGTGTGCAACAACGTGTTTAACAATTATATTATCGCTACTACTCGTTATGGGCGTGCTTATTGCATGATTGTTCGTATCGTTCCGTTTGCATGTCAAGAGAGAATATGTGCATGAGAAAACTTGCTAGCGAAGTAAACAGTGGGCTGTCGGAAAGAAACGGGAATGCTAGGTTAGGTTAGGAACGCGTGAGTGAAAGAGAACGAAAGGAAAGAAGAGAATCAACGTGCACGTTTGCTGTGTGTGTTTGTGCGTGAGAATTGTGTCTGGTGCTTCGGATAATGTTAATTTCCCGCGCACGCGCGAGAGTGGCTCGTCGCGCGTGCAACTGTTCACACATTATACTTAATGTACAGTCCGCGTATTATCGACACCTTATTTTCACTACGATGGAGTTAGGAGGGGTAAAAGGAAGGATAAAAAGTAAGAAAGGGAGAGGAAAGAACGAGTGTGGCGCGTATATTGTTCTCGCTCTAATCTCTGCTTCCCGTTCGTTTGAATTCGAACCTTTTCGCGCTCGAGAAGATGCGGGAAATTTGAACCAGTCTTCCCGAGACGGTTCGAGAAATTCGTCTATATCCGTGATTCGTGAATGCAAATCCAACGTCTTTGTACAAGAACAAACACTATCAACGAGCGTGAAGCAGAGTAATCGGTGAGAATATATCGCGACGAACGAAAGCAAAAGGATAGAAAATGAAAAAAAAAGAAAAAAAATGGAGGCGAGTAAAGGAGAAAAGAGAAAAAAACGAAAAAAAAGAACAAAAAGATTTTAAAAAGAGGAGTTTTTATATTTGTTTATAGGTGTGTGAGAATGCTGTAC